TACTTCTGTTGCAAGAGGAGATATTTAGATTAGATGCAGGAAGTAATTATGTGTAGAGAAGGGCTGGACACAGAAATGAGTTGCTAAGAATAGCTGGAGATCTTGCTAGAATCGTTTAAGTGCCGATGTTCCTGTCTGTCTTGGAGAATTTTCCAGGTGATAACAGCCTATGAGGGCATGATGTGCTAGCATTTGGGTTAGGTTTCCAGCAGCACAGGAAGAAAAGAGAGAGGAGTGGGGCTTTTAAGTGATATTCCTGCTGGAAAATCACCAACAGCAAATGGAAAATATTGAACAAAATTACTGCATTGTTATCGCCATTACCGGCTTGGCAAAGAAACTTCAAGGTTGAAGCCTTACTCTTTTGGCTTTGAATCAAGATGAGAGGAGTAAATAATAGACTTAGAGGAGGTAGAAGGGAGAATGAAGGGTGCAGAAAATCAGGAGCTTGGTCATCTACTTCTGTGCTCGTTTTCTCTGTGTTCCCTGCAGTTGCTTCACTGAAAGCCCATGGACCCATTGCCATCCTTAACGCTATGCCTCTCCCCACTCCCACCTTCTCCTCTTTTGTAGCCGGGGGTATGCTGGAACAGATCAGATTAGCTAGGAGAGCCAAATGTTAAATTTTTAGCACGAGCATTTTGTTGTTGCTAAGTCATTCAGTCATATCCAACTCTTTGTGACACTGTGGATTTGTCCATGGGGCTTTCTTGGCAAAGATACTGGAGTGGTTTACCGTTTCCTTCTCCTGTGTCCCCATCTTACAGATGAGGAACTGAGGTAAATAGGGGTTAAGTGACTTTCCCAGGGTCACACAGCTAGTAAGTGTCTGAGGCTGGACTTTGCCAATGCTGTGAATCAGGGCTTGATTTATTGTTTTATTGATTGTGTAGATTTAGGAAAGAGTTAATTATGCAGGTTAAACTTACAAGTATGTCATGAATACATTTCCCCCCCAGTGAAATGGGTAAATAAATCATATATGAGAGATGGTTGTTACATATTTATTTAGCACAGCCTTTCCTAGAGCACACATACATGCATGGCAGATGGGCTATGAAATGGTCCTACTTTGTGTTGGATTTTTTTTTCTCTCTTCAGTCTATTTGCATGTAGGCAGGGGAGAGAGTACCAAACAGAGGAAGGGTGGTGGTGGTGTTGTTTCTGTCTGACTCTCCATGACCCCATTTTGGGATTTTCTTGGCAAAGATATTGGAGTGGTTTGCTATTTCCTTCTTTCTCCAGCTCATTTTACAGATGAGGAAACTGAGGCAAATAAGGTTAAGTGACTTTATCAAACAGCTAGTAAGTGTCTAAGACTGGATCTGAACTCACAAAGATAAGTCTTCTTGACTCCCCTAGCTGCCTCAATAGTAAGGGTGGAAGACTACTTTACCAGAAAGCATGAGTCACAGGTTCTAAGAGGGTAAGAACTGAGAGGAGAGCAGAGGAAAGAAGAATTTGAAGATGGCATCCACTCCACCACCGTTTTGGAGCCATGGAGATGATCAGGATGACAGAGACATTTCCCCGTAAACAAGAGAACAAGATAACCCAAACAGAGATGTCAAGGCTGCCTTCATAGAAGTTTCCAAACAACACCCTCCTCTCCATTGCCTGGCTCTAGAACGACCTTTGTTCAGACTTTCCCTGTTGGAGTTGTGTTTGGAGAGGATAATGATGCAAACTTCACTGGGAGGAAGGGACATGACATTGTACTCCCTAGGACTGGAGACAATCACTTTCTGTTGCTTTATGTTCCATTATGAATAAATGTTTTTGTTTCACTGCCGTTGGGAGCCTTGGATGGGTAGTTGTCAATCAATAAAACTATATTAGTGCCTACTATGTGCCAGGCACTGTACTAAGCATCGGGATACAAAACAAAAGACAGTCCTTGCCCTCAAGGGGCTTACGATCTAATGGCAGAAAATAACACATAAAAGGAAGCTTGAAAGGGGGTGGTAGACAAAGTCCAAAGAAGCACAGCCCAATGGGAAAAGAAAAGTGGCTGGGCCTGGGAGTCCACTTTAAATGGAGGGTTTAGAAGGAGTTCTTTGCACCCTCCAGCCCTCCAATCAGAGGGGTCAGTTGAACGCACTGGAAGCAAGCTAACTAGAGATGTTTCTCAGAATTTTTAAATGGATGGTGGGGGCAAAGTACACCCAAGAGAGTATCAAGTATTGACCATCTCCATGACAGAAGTCCAGCCTGGTTGGCAAAGGCTAGGATCCAACATCCAGGTTACACATGAAAAAAAGACCAAAAACAACCACACATATAGAAACACCCTCCCCCCCCAAACCTCGTGGATCAGGTACTGAGAACTTGGTAGATTTCTAGATTGTAAAACCGGGACAGGATTTGAATCATCTAGTCTACCTCCTTCATTTAACAGATGAAGAGGCTGAAGCCCAGAGAGGTGGTGACCTACCCAAGTTCACACAGCTAATTTGTGGCACAGCTGATTCTTGACCCGACTATCTCCGGAGTCCTATTTCAGTACTCAATGCTATACCATGCTGCAACCTTTGTTAACCTCAGAGAATTTTTTTAATGGTTACAATCAGGGGTCAGTGGTGTGGGTGGTCCATGGGGTTCTTTTGTCCTGCAACAGTGGTTTATGCATGAAAAATTTTGACAATTTCTGCACCAGTTTCCCTCTAGCCTTACCTTGCTTGAGCTAAGCCTGAAAGATTTGAAAGAATAGAGCCTGCTTATTACCAGGCAGTATTTCTGACCTGACCACAGGCTTCTCATGCACCTAAAATCTCCATCTGAAGTAATGATGGTCCTATTCTAAGCATTCCAATAGCAAACCAAATGAGATCATCCCTATCCTCTCAGTAGAGCTCCAAGCTGGACAAAGCAGGGACAGGCAGGTTTGCCTGTGATATTTGGCAATCCCAAGTGAGATGCCTTTGCAGTTCTTACCTAAAATATCTTGCACTTGGGCTGAGTCAGGGAGTAGCTCATCTATCTACAAAGCTCTCTGGTCAGTCCTGAGATAGCTGCAAAGATCAGAAGACACAGCTAGGAGGAGCACTTTTCTACCATCCCAAGAGCAGTATGGGAAAAAAATATTTAGGCAAACCCTAAGCAGGACAGGCATTTCTCCCCTCCCCTTGGCAGACCAGTTGCTAGAGACACACCTTCTACGTTTTGGCAACTGGCTACATTTAGCAAGCCTTTCCATCTTCAGAATTCTAGTGCTTTATTTCTATATCACTAATGCTTATATTTCCAAGGTACTGGCATACATGTGATTTTTTTTTTAAATCTTGGTTTTCTCTTAATCCAAGGCAAGCTGCCTAATTTTAGAAGTCATGGATACATTGTGGAAGGCCAGGGAGTATAATTGATGGGCCATCTGTCAACAAGCATTTATTAAATGCTTACTCATCATGTGCCAGGCATTCTGCTGAACACTGGGGATACAAAAAGACAAAAAAACAGTCCCTGCCCTCAAGGAGCTGACATTCCAAAGCGGAACACAATAACCGCAAGGTAATTTGAGGGGGGAAAGCACCAAAATCTGGGGAGGACATGGAAAGTGGAAAAAGTGAGATTTGAGCTGGTGTTGAAGGAAGCCAGAGAAACCAAGATGAGGAGGCAGAACATTCTAAGCATGGGGGAATCCCTAGTGCCATACATGTCCACCGGAGCTGGTTTAGAAGCTGCCAATTCAGGGGCAGCTAGGTGGTGCAGTGGATAGAGCACCGGCCCTGAAGTCAGGAGGACCTGAGTTCAAATTTGGCCTCAGACCAAACACTTGACACTTAACTAGCTGTGTGACCCTAGGCAAGTCACTTAACCCCAATTGCCTAAAAAGCAAAAAATAAACAAAACAAAAAACTGCCAATTCAGCTTTGTTGAGTTTTTAAGTGTGTAGAAGAGGGGGGCAATGAAGCAGTAAGTACTTAATATGTGCCAGGCACTGTGCTAAGCACTTTCTAAATATTATCTTATTTGATCTTCACAACTCTGTGATCTTATGAGGTAGGTACTATTATGATGCTATTATTTTTACAGTTGAAGAAACTGAGGCCTAGAGACTAAGTGACTTGCCCAAGATCACAGAGCTAGTGAATGTCTGAGGCCAAATTTGAACTTAGGTCTTCCTGAGTCTTAAGCCTAGCATTCTACCACTGTGCTATCTAGATGCATGGCATAAGAGGGAAGGGGCCAGGTTATGAAGACCAAAAAAGGAGTTTATATTTAGTTCTAAAGATATAGCAAGCCAGTGGAACTCATTGAGGTGGGAAGAGAAGGTGGAAAGTGTGTGAATACAGCAAACAATGAAGGAACACCCTCAAAATGCCATTATATTTTATTTTGAAAACAATGGGGGGGGCAGCTAGGTGGTGCAGTGGATAGAGCAGCGGCCCTGAAGTCAGGAGGACCTCAGTTCAAAGCCGACCTCAGACTAAACACTTGACACTTACTAGCTGTGTGACCCTGGGCAAGTCACTTAACCCCAATTGCCTAAAAAAATAAAATTTAAAATGAAGGCAATCAGGGTTAAGTGACTTGCCCAGAATCACAAAGCATGCGGCATTGTTTCACTGGAACTCTTGGTCTTCTTGGCTCAGTTACAGATATTGAACACAGCCAATAATATCCTAGGCTTACTAGAGGAGAGCAGTCCTATCCCACAGACGACATGCAGCAGCCTAACAGCCCAATTCATCCTTTGGAGGATGTACTGAAAGAAAAGGAAATTGTATGGAATAACCCCAGAATCCACAGCCCAGGAATATGAATCCTTATGAAGCAGCTGGTGTGGCTTAAGCCAAATAAAACTTTATTACACTGGGAACAGTCATATGTACAGAGAGGAGGATCCCAACGGATCAGTCTTTACGGTATATTCCTTTTGCACTGCCCGGTGGCTTTGAGGATCCTGCTGGGGGTCTGGCACCCTCACCACACTGGGCACTGCATAGACGCTGATGTTTATGTGTGACTGTTTATGTGGTGGAGGGCCGGGGGAAGAGGGAAAGAAGGCAGGAGGGGTACTTTGGATAGACAAGTAGGAAGGGGAGATAGAAGTGCCCCTTGATTTAAAATGCAGACTCTTCAGACAGGCATTAATAGAGCTTTAGTATCTCAGTTCAATTTCTCCTGATAAGTCCAAGGTCTGGGATTGGCCCTAGAAATGCTTCCCTGTGAAGCTCTTGAGAATTTCCCCTCACTAGGGCTGAACTATGGAGCTAAACATGCAGAGATGGGCATCTGACTAAATCTTCCTGGGGTACACTGACCCAGCCTTATATTCTTGGCAGAAAACCAACAGAAGCCATCTAACTTGAGGGTAGATACCCATTTCTTTGTCAAAAAGATAGAAGCACCAGATGCCTGGAAGACAGCATGACCTTGGAGCACACTGTAGCTCTTCTGGACAACCAGCTGTCCAGATTGAAAGGGCAGAGGCCAGGAGGCATGGCGGCCACAGCCAACAGATTTACCCATCCCATCCTTTCTCCAGCAGGTGTGCTACTGAGCTAGGCCTCCCAAGCCATCTATTCTTTCCCACTGTGGTATTTCATAGGACTTATCCCAGATCCCTACAGAAGGAGCTGGCTGGTTCTGCTGCCTCTGCGATACATGTAGCGCCCCAATCACTGACAGACAGAATCTAAATGACTATCAATGCATCCCCCCAGCTGTATGGCACTGAAGAGTAAGGGGCCAAGGGGAGAGCGAGGGTGGATTTTGGTGCCAGTAAGGGACAGATGGATGGGAGGAAGGTGTGAGACATGAAAGAGACTGAATGGAAGGAAGAAGCAAAATTAGTCATGATAAATAAGGCTCTATTTTTTGAGCCATGATATGTAGATATGAGGAGACAAAGAAACTATTCTAATTTTAGCACTGTGGATTGGATGTGCCAGCTTCCTGGGATTTGCTGTCCTTCCCTACTATACACAGGGACAAAGGGAAGTTGATCAAAGAGAGAGCCTTCTTCAGGAAGTTCTGGAAGCCTACTGAGCAGGAGAGATGTTGATGAAAGTGGATGAGGGAAGGCACAAGAAGGGTGGGATAGAACCAACTATTAACCACTCTTCCCTCTGCCCCTAATCCCTTGGACACCTCACTGTACCCCCACACCCACCCCCAAAAATAGCCCTGAAAAAGTCAAGACCTGCTAGACTACTGGGACCAGAGACTGCTCATTTAGCTTCACACAGGAAAGAATCTCAATGGAGCTACTACTCCACTCCACTAGGGTCTCCTCTGTCCTCTAAAGTTCAGGTCTAAGCCAAACTAGGTTGAGGCAGACAGGCTTAACCCACCGCAGGACAGAAGAAAAGGAAGTTTCACAGCCCAGGACTTTCATCTAGGGAACAGAAACCATTTCCTCCCCTCCTCGACCTCACACCTGTGGTGAGAATAAGGAAATTGAGGAAATGGCAAAGGGTCAAATCTTTGCCAAAAGCCACCCAGTCAACTATGAGGGTTGCTGTAGAGTAGCCTGAAATCTCCATGCTGAAATCTCCCTTCAGTTTTTCTGCTCTTATCCCTGACTTATCCTCCCCTCCTAGACTCAAGAAAATCCATTTCTCCCTCTATCCTCCAAACTAATCTTTGCAGATTTCTGCTCACTGCAAGAGGGGGGGCCATGTTCTTTCTCGTGGACCTTCAGAAGAGTCCGAGTCAGCCTCTACCATGGAAATGCCTGGGAATGCCAAGTACCTTTGGGTGAGGTCCCAGGTAAACAATGTATATAAATATATAGACTGAATATATTATATAAATGTATCTATATATGTATATATGTACATGCACAACTCAGAGGGCAATTCATTCACCCAAGAGGTGGTGCTAAGTAGGGGAGCTGTGCTGAGAAGGGAAGGCTATGGGCACAGTTTCTTATGACGGGACTCCATTCGTTTAACCCAAGAGATGGGCTTGGGCCCCAGAAAGTACCACCAAAAGCTTGATGACTAGAGCAGGGCAGTGTTGGAGTGACATGCCTCTCATCATCGTCAAGCCCAAAGGGAACGCTTGAGAGCTCAGGCCTGTTAGTCACCAGGATGGTGAGTCTGAGTAAGGTGGGGCTGTGGGGGTGAGAGAGAACACAGAAGGTCCATCATTTGTCCCAGGCAGTCCTAGTGTTAGGGATGTAGAGGGACTGAGTCTGGCGGCTCCTCCGGGGAGTGGTGTTGAGGACATCCACACTCTTCCGGCTGGAACTGACCACATCCACTACAAAACTAGTACAGTCACTGCAGACATCCTTCAGGACGCAGCCGTGGGCATAGATGTGTGGGAATTCTTCTTCCACACTGTGCCACTTTGTCCCCTGCAGGGACCTGTGAGTAAGAGAGTGGAAGGGTAGGAAAGGTTTGAATGGGCTTTTTGAAGGGGGAAGGGGATCGTTTAGGAAAGTTAGGAGAGTCTGGAACAAGAGATATTTCCTCCAATCTAGGAAGCAGCTGCTCTATCCCATCAGTCTGGAAAAGTCCACCCAAGCAATGTTTCCTCCACAGTAGGAGCTCAGTGGTGCTTGGCTACTAACACCAAAGGTGACTTCCACCATCAACTGTTGATGTTGCCTCACTAATATCCCAAATGATCTGTATTCTGAAATAAACGCCTTGAAGTTTTCTCTAGTTCCAATGTGACACACTGAGATGGAGCAGCAACCTTTCCACAAACCCTCCCTGGAGCTAATTCCTGGATCTCCATGCCAAGGGGATCAAGAGAAAGAACTCACTGGAAGACATCTCTCCTCCGAGTCAGCATAGCTTTGGCAGTCACAGCCTTTTGAGGGCTCTCAAAGCCCAAAGTGTAAACGGGAATGTGTGCAAACTTCTTAGAAGGCATCTTTATCTGCAGCACAAATAAAAGGGAGAGTAAAGTCAGGGTAGCTTCTAGACCTTGGGCAAAACCACTGGCATAAAAAAAAAGCTAGCAGAGCATTCTCCTTCAAGACTCTTCAATGGCTCTGGCTCTATTGTCTCTAGAATAAAATAAAAACTCCTCAATTTGGCATTTTAAATCCTTTCTCAATTGGAATGATTACATATTGCTTTAGAATCTAGCTAAGCTTACCTACCTGAATTTCACTACATTCAACATTCCATTTTCACGCTTTTGCACAGGCCAGCCCCCAGGCCTGCAATCCACCCCCTTTTCACCTCCATTTCCTCTTCCAACTCTTAGCTTGTTTCACCTCCTTCAAGAGGCCTTGCCTAATTTCTCCAGTTGTTAGTACTTTACCCCTCTAAAGATGACTAATATAACTTTTCATATTTTATTCTTACTTGTCTATGTATGTGACATCTAGCTTACAGTTACCTATGACAGTGTGAAGTTTGACATCTCCACCACCAGCTGACACACAATATATATTCTGCTGCAAACCACCCTCCTGAAGATACTTAAGTAAGACACACCATGGCACATGGTTTTTCCTTCTCTATCAGCACTTCAGACTCTACAACAGCCATTGGATAGATTGTTCTTGAAGCAATTCTATGTCTCCTCCTTTGATTATTTAGGCTTGGTCATGCTTCAAATAATTTGTCCTTACAAGATGACCTTAAGGTCCCTTTCAGTTTTCAGATTCTAAGCCTCTTCTGGAGCGTGGGACCATCCCTAATGAAGCAAATCTACTTCCACTGCCAAGTGGACTGACCATGCCTACTATGACCAGGAGATGCCCCTAACCCTCCAGGAGCCCTGAAGATGGCCACTCTTACCTTTATGCTACAGGAGGTGCAGACGGCTCTGAAACAGAAATTTGGGAAGGATGTTTTTAAGAATAGTACCATGCAACAGAAGTCAAGCCTAATTCCCTAATTCCCTTGCATCATCTCATCACTTTCCGTGTCCCACCCACCCCTTGTCTCCACTATTTTATTTTCACTATACTTTGTATGAGGTTCTGCTCTCTCCACTCCAAACACTATTCAGTCCTTGTTAATACATCCTTAGACTACTTCCTCCGATGATTTCTCTTTAACTTTTATATCTTCCCCTAATTACTAGTGCTTCTCATTCTGGAAGGGTTCTCTGACCCTAAGAAACCCAAGTCTTAAGCTCTTAGCTCAGCTGGAGATAAGGATTTCCTAGATGGTAAAAACCAGAGTTCAGTAGTCCCTGACGTCCAAGCCTATCAGAAGCCAAAGGATTATGAATTTCATGCTGGAAAGGGCCCTACAGGTCATTTTACAGATGAGGCAATTCAAGGCCCCAGGAGGAAAAATTGCTTGCCAGTGTTCTCCAAGGTGGTAAACAGCATAACTGGGGCTTGAAGCCAAGGACCACTGACTCTAAATATAGAGTTCTTTCCACCATATTTTGCTGCTTCCTCTCAGTCTTTGTGCCTTTATCTGCTTCCGCACATCTCTCTCCAGACAAGAAAATGAATGGACTTTCTTAAGATCTTAATGAAGCAGGGATTTCATATCCCCCAACAAGGGCAATCTCAAAGGCCCTATCCAGATCCAGGTCTTGGAGACAGCGGAATGATCACCTCAGTCTCTTCACGTATACAATTCAGAGTTGGAATAGATGACAATGTTAATAACATTTACATACCAAGGTTCTTTCTCTACAACTACCATGCTGCATTGTGAAGTAGGTAGATGACTTCTCTGGTCCCTTTCTGACTCTAAAATCTATGGTCTTGTATCCCCCACAACACACACATACCTTTCCTGTGTCCCAAGACCAATCAGTGGTCAAAGGCTCACCTTTTACAAAAGAGACAGGTAGCTGGCCAGGAGAACAGGGGGAACTTGTTTCTACAGCAGCAACAGATCTGCAAGTAAAAAAAAAAAATCAGCAAAGGTTTAAGCCTGAACCCTGGCCTGCTTCGAGGTCTGCTCAGCAATATCAGGGATATTGAAGCTTTGAGGGTCAGGACGACATCTCACCTTCCCTTTCTTCAGGCTGTTATAAAGTTCTTTATTCTGCAAGAACTTCTCCATCTCAGCCTTTACCAGCACCCGGCGCACATTGATCACCTCCTCTACAGTCAACGCGAGGCTCTCCACTGGATGGCTGAATTCCTATGGGTGGGGAAGGGAAAGGTGGGTTTAATGCCTTTGGCACGAATGCACAAGTTTTCCATCTTCCCAGGAGGACTAAAGAAGGTCCCTTCTCTGCTGAATCTATTTGACAGTGAGGCTAGACTTCTTTCCAAATAACATTTTTATTGTGTCATTCTCCTGCTGAGAACCTAAAATGGCTTCCTATTACTACAGAACTTAGGCTTTTTTCCCCCCTGCTTTTGTTCTAGAAGCCAGCCCAAATACTTAGGAATCAAGTGAATTTTTCAGTTGTAAGGAAGAAAAAAAAAGGAAACAAGGCTGGGAAGGGATGAGGAGTTCAGGGTGAGACTCAATTAGGCTCACAAAAAGGACATTGAAGGAAGCTCTGAAAAGGTTCAGTTACAGGGGAGTGGGGGGTGGGGGGTGGGGGGTTTGTAGCTGGCCTAAGTAGTACCTGGGGGAATATACAAAATAGGTGGAATCCCTGATAGCCATCAGTTGATCTTACCATCTCATCCTTCCCCCTTTTTTCTCTTCACTTGTTTCAGGACAGCAAAGATAAGAAGCTTGTTCTTAGGAATCCCAGTAACATTCTTAAATAAAATGGACTAAGAAACTTGAACCACTAGGTGGGCCCCAATGCTACACCCACCAAGTGGTGAGGTCTGTGGCTGAAGGATTCTGCTCTGCCACTGATTGCATTGTACAGCAAAATACCTTCATGAAGTAGAACAAAATGTACTTCTGGAGTCTGGAGTAAGATTTCACCCAAAATAGAAGTCACAGTGATCAGGCACTCAGGATTTATTGATCCTTGATATACTGAATCACGTCCCAAACTGTTCATCTCAATATGCAAAGCTCTCTGTACTCATCCTTACTTGCTACCACACTCCAATAAGTATATTTTGTTCCAGCCACGTCAGTCTGCTCATTGTTTCCACTGCCCACCCTGTTTCCCCTACCACAAATGTCCTTTGTTCTATGCCTCTCCAAAGCTTACAAATCCTACACAACTCATCTTAGAACCTTTCTGCCTCCTTTAATGCTAACCAACACCAACTGACACCTTTCATTATTATCAATGAAAATTTACTGTCAACAACTTATTTCCCACGGGTTTAATGATCATCTCCATGCTAATGACTCTCAGATGTATAGACCCAGCCAACTTCCAAATCACCAAGTGTCTAGTATACATTTTGATCTGGATGTGCCAAACGCAGGCATTCCAAACTCAACATGCCCAAGACTGAATTCATTAGGTTCCCCCCCAAACTCAGTGGTTTCCCCACCTCCTACAGACTTCTTAGTGAGAAAATAATTCATTTGGACCATTACTCTACTCCAATCAGTATTAACCAACATATATGATTCTATAGGGTGGTGATGATAAGCTCCAGAGCTGTGAGCTACAGATTGAAAGATCACTGTGAGCTACAGATTGAAAGATCACTTGCTTAATCATAGGAAGCTAACGAGGCCTCCACCCTTGTTTTTCCTTGTCTTGGTGACTAAGCCAGTGTGGCAGAGGTGACTCAATTACATGGGAAGTCCTGACTTATTCTTACATCTAGAGACTTCTCTTTCTTGCCCAAGATGAGCAAGTGACCATCTTATGACCACTTAGTCAGTGGAGATGCCCCATGCTTCACCCAATCTGTGACCTCCCCCTGCTAATGTCATTTTTGGTCCTCAAGAGCAAGATCTATCAACCAACGAGATTCTATATTTTACTGTGCCTCTTTTGCATATTTGGGTATCAAAATCTGTAAATACAAGGAGGCATCTCAGATCATGAGGAAGATGTGAGGTCCACTTCATTAGAGAGGACTATGGACCCTTTAATAAAGTGCCACATGAGTCAGAGCTCTGCCTCAGTCTTTTATTGTAGGTTGGACAATTTTAATCCCCATAAAGTAATACATTTGACATATAGCTAACAAGCATCCACCTGGATAGAAGGCCCACAAGAAAAAGAATCACTAAGTGGGAATGTAAACAGGAGGAGCAGAAATTAGAACAAAATTCGGGTATCACAAACCCCAGCCCAGCACATAATTAATATGCCTATCCTGACCTCACCAGCTCCAATCTGGACATTGGCTATCTAAACAGGCCTAACATTCTCTTTCAAACAGCAGTACCAAATTTTCCCAGCAGGTGACAGCAGAGGCTCTACCCAAAGGGTAACATTGCCTGTGGGTGGTAGGTGCCCATGAGGAATACCTTCTGTCTTATATATCCTTTCCTGGGTATTCATACTGCAAGGACTATGAGATACAGTAGGAAATACCGGTACTTCACTGCTGGCATGTCTGAAGACTGAATTGGTGGATTGTACTCAGAGAGTACTTAGATAATAATAATAACAATAACAATAATAAGCACTTAGATAATATTAACAATGAATAAAAAACTAGCACTTACAGTATATAGCACTTTAAAGTTTGTAAAGCCCAGAATTGAGTTTCTTAGCTGCCTCCAAGCTACAAATAGAGACTGCCCTCAGCCATGCAATGGCAGTAGGCCATCAGAATGCTATCCACTGCTCACCAGCCACAGGTGTTTAGAGTGACTGTCCAACGCTGAACTAGCCTCTGGTCTTTCCTCTACAGAGCCAAGGGAGCTGTGGGCAGGGGAACTGGATTCCATGAGGGCCTTGTAGTTGGGGGGAAATGAGCCTAGAAGAAAATGAGATCTGGTAGTCAGTCAGGAAGAATCACCCCAAATTCCCACCTTGGCTCAAATTATTAACTGGTCAGAACCCCTGCTGTCTCAGGCTAGGGTAGGACTCAGGTGTCCCAGGGTTTCTGTGTCTCCCAATCAATCAATAAACATTAAGGGTCTATTAAGTGCCAGGCACTGTGCTAAGTTATGGGGAAGGAAAAGACAGTCCTTGCCCTCAGGGAGCTTACAATCTAATGGAGGAAACACCATGCAAACAAATATATACAAAAGCAACATATATATAGGATAAATAGGAAATAACATAGGGAAGGCCCTGGAATTAAGTGGGGTTGGGGAAGGCTTCAATGTCCTGGGGTCTCTTTCTAAGCCCCATCCCCACCTCCACCCCAATTAAATGTGTCTTTAACAGTTGATTAAACTCTTCCCTGACAAGAGTGAATGGGGTCATCACGCTGTGGCCTGAGCGAGGACGCCATGCACAGCCCTGCGTGGCTCATGGCTTTCGGCCAACTGCAATGCCTACTTCTGTTTTTTCCTGGTTCCGGGCCCTGGCAGCAGAGTCTATGTGGGGACTTTGGGTGCCTTTTGCCCAACTCCCCTACCCTTTCCTTCCTGCGGTCCGCAATGGGGCGCACGTCCAAGGACAAGCGCGATGTCTATTACCGGCTGGCCAAGGACGAGGGCTGGCGGACCCGCAGCGCCTTCAAGCTGCTCCCACTGGACGAGGAATTCCAGCTCTTCAGCTGCGTGAGGCGGCCGTGGATCTCTGTGCCGCCCCCTGGGAGCTGGAACCAGGTGCTGAGCCGCAAGTCAGGGGCGGGGGCGGTGTCCGGGCCGCCGGCCCGCATCATGGCCGTGGACCTGAAGGCCATGGCGCCCTTGCCCGGGAGGGTGCAGATCCAGGGGGACATCACCAAGGTATCCACGGCGAGGGAGATGATGGGGCACTTCGAGGGGCAGCCTGCGGACCTGGTGGTGTGTGACAGCGCCCCGGACGTCCCGTACTGCACGACATCTACGAAGACATGCAGGCGCAGCTCCTGCTGGCCGCCCTCAACTTCGCCATCCACGTCCTCAAGCCCAGCGCCAACTTTGTGGCCAAGATCTTCTGCAACCGGGACTTCAACCTGCTGTACTCGCAGCTGTGCCTCTTCTTCCCCGGTGTGGTGTGCGCCAAGCCCAGGAGCAGCCACAACTTGAGATCGAGGCCTTCGTCGTGTGCCGGGGCTTCACGCTAAGGGTGGGCTATGTGCCCAGCATGTGAACCCCCTGCTGGGCCACAGCTACCACCGGGACCCAAGCTGTTCATCGGGCCCTTCCTGGCCTGCGGGGACTTCAGTGTCTATGATGCTGACCGCACCTACCTCCTGCCGCTGGAGGGGAGCCCCGAGTACCAGTACAGGAGTTGGCCCAGTCACCCATCGGGCTGCCCTACCAAGAAGGCTGCAAACTCGGGGGGGGGGGGGGGGGAGGGTGGTAATCCTCAAGGTGCAAGCTCTTCCTTTGGTGCTTCCTCTTAAACATAACAGAGTTTTAGTTGGGATTGCTAGAGGTGGGAGGGAACGTTTGTACATACACACACATCTGTACATACACACACGTGAAATACCTTTTGATTTACATTTATAAAATAAAATTTCTTATTTTTGTTAGTCTTTCGTCCTGCTTTGTCCCAGGTGTCAGAATTGCACCTTCCATCTCTGTCCCTGAGCTGACCCAAAGCAAGTGACAGGATAGGGAAATGAGCAGCTTGTCTGGGCTGTAAGATCCATGAGGTTTTGAGAGTAACCTGGTAGTGCTTGGCAGGATACACATGAATAGAATTCTGGGTTCTGAGTTACTATGACCCTCTCTGGTAGAGGTTCTTAACCTTTGCCTCTTCCAGAAATCAGAGCCTCTTGGTGGAATGATATTCATTGTTACCAACATTGGTAACTGAAGGAGATGCTACATTTCAGTTAGAGGTTAGTAAAATTAAAAGGTGACTCCCTCCCCCATCCAAGTTCAGCCTCCCTTGAAATCTGTTCATGTATCTTCTCTAAGAGCGAAGGAAATAACTCTTCCTATTTCTCTAGTGTTTTAAGGTTTACAAAACACCTTCTTTACAATAGCCTTATGAGGTTTAGAGTAGAAGTATTGTTTTCCCCATTTAACAGATGAGGAAACTGAGGTCAATTAACTTGCTCCTGACAACAGGAGTGCTAAATCTCAGACTGGGATTCAGTCCCAGTTTTCAAGGCCAAATCCAGGGTTCTTTCCACCACTCTGCTGTCTCTGACCAAGGTTCAAGGGAGCCTGTCCAGGGATGCTTCCATAGCTTGGGGAAGAATGAAGAGCTAGGAAGCAGGGAAGAGAAGGAGAGAGAGGACTTACCATGGTCTGTGGTGTCCGTCTTCCACGTGTGCATGCTGCCTGAGCGGGGTCGGGATTCCAGCTCCTCCTCTCCCAGGTGGCCAGTGTCTGGCTGGAGGCCCATGGCCATCTCACTCTGGAGCTGGGCCAAGTCATGTTCAGAGAAGGAGCGGTCCCGCTTCAGGGGCAGCAGGGAGCTGCTAGTCCTCTTCATTTCCCCACTTGGAGATTCTTCCTCCTGTGGGGACACCAGGACTTACTGACCACCTCTAGTTTTACAAGGAATTGCTTGGGTAGACATCATTCTCTAGAGGGAATGTTTTGCTTAATAACCAGGGAATTCTCTTTGTTCTCAGTGGAACAGCTGAATATTTATTGGATTCCAGGAGAAGATAGCAAAACCTACTGTCTGGCTGGTCTCCTTGTAGGCTTGAGCCCTCAAAACACATGACAGCCTCAGGCTTAGGGGCCTGCAAGGGCTGAGATCAAGCCCTCAAAGGGACAAAGGCCTTAACAAACCGAGATTCTCTGCTACATGAAGGAAAAGCCTTGAATGAAACTAACTCAGAATTAGCTTATTATTATTCTGAGCAAGGACTAAGTAAGTGTTGTTCACTTTTGTATCCTCTACAGCAGCTAACACGGGTCCTTGCACATAGAAAGTCACTGATTTTTTTTAAAGTTGAATTCAAGAAAGAACCCTATAGTCAGCAAATCAGCTAGAATTTATCTTAAGCATCTAGTATGTGCCACATCCTGTGCTAAGCACTTTTCAAATATTATCTTGTTCCTGACAACAGCTATGAGGACTAGGTGCTATTACTACCCCCATTTTACAGTTGAAGAAACTGAGGCAAACAGGTTTAAGTGACTTGCCCAAGGTCACACAGCTAGTAAATATCTGAGGTCAGATTTGAACTTGGGTCTTCCTGACCCCAAGCCCAGTGCTTTGTCCATTTTGCCACCTAGTCAGAGTCAGTATTGTACCCATTTTACAGATGACAAAACCAAGGTTTAGGGGAAGTCAAGTGACTGCCTAAAATCACAATGCCAGTAAGTGGCAGAATCAGAATTATAATTTAGGTCTTGATTTATTTATTCATTTATGATTGATTTTATCCAGTTAAAAGACCTGAAACAGAGCAGGAAGAGATCTATTCTGAGTAGGTGGGGGGTTGTTTCCTCAATAGGGGGCTCTCAGGATGGCTGAAGGAGCTCCTGCCCGCTCACTTCCCCTGGGGGTATAAGGTCTTGAAACCAGAAATGGAAGTTTTCCCAGGGCTAGGTAAGAGGGCTGTTATAGGCTCACAGGAGTTAAGAGTTAGGAGGGAATTTAAAGATTATTATATAACCCAACTTCCTGAAGACAGAAGTCACGACTTACTTCCCAAGGTCACACAGCTAATGCTCTGAAGCTAGATTTGAATTAGGTCTTCCTGACTCCAAGGCTGTATCCACTGTGCTACCCAAAGAGATCCCAGCTCAGTCAGCCCTGTTCTCTTTCCTCATCGAAAGGTTGTCTTATAGCCCCAGCTTCACCCCAGAAAACTACTTCCAGGCTCTTTCTCTGATCTCTCTTCAGCAAAACACCACTGGTTCTGACCTCAGAAATGTTCATCTCTTCCATCTCTGCCAAGGTGGGGGCTTTAAGCAGGACCCGTGGCCGTGGTGGGCGATGAGAGGTGCTCCCCGTACCTGAGAGGGACAGGTTTATGCAGGAAGTAGACTTCACATTGCTGGAGCAGGCATTGAGGATGCAGGGCAGGGAGCCAAAACCTGAAAGAATAAAGTCAAGGTGGTGAAGATAAGTAAGCACAGGGAATAACACGAACTACTCCCAGTGGACTTATTGGACATGATGACACTTGGAAGGCTGAGCATAGAGGGCTTCAATGAACCTCATCAATAAAGAAATTAGAGAGTTAGACTCTCAGCTTTGCACATACTTAATGACTGTCTCTGGGATCTCTGAGGAGTCCTGAGCAGCAGTAGGTCTAAAGCCATAGGTACACTGCTGGCCCTTTGTGGATGTGGCTATGTACGTTTATGTTTATTATTTTAATTTTAAATTTTTAAAATTTTATTTATTTTTATTTATTTCAAAGATTTATTTAAATTTATTTATTTAAACCAGATTTATCTTATTTTTAACTATTTTAATATTTACTCACACATTTTCTATTTAGGCACATGTTATATCTTAGGTTCTCCTCTTCCACTTATATTTCAAAATCTTTGAGGTCAAGGACCATGTTTTGTCCCCCTCTGGTGACCATTTCTTCTCATTTATACAGCATTATACATTTATACAGGTATTTTGATATAAATATCAATATATTGGAATACTTAAAGGGCTGTATAAACTGGACAGGACTGTTCCAAAGCACTTAACATCCACTGTGTCATTTGACACAATGAGGTTAAGTAACTTGTCAAGGTCACAGAGACCAAGAATTTGGCATTAATTCCAACTGGGCCATTGGATTTCTCGTTTAATGCAGAGTTTCAAAAACCATGAAAAGTATGGCCATTGTCTTTGTATCTCTCCCTGGATCATGGATTCGGAGCTTTAGAGGTTATATAATCTGATCTTAACATTTTCAGATGAGGAAACTGAGGTCTACAGAGATGAAGTGACCTGCCCCTAAGGTCTCACAGGTTAAGGATTTGAATGAGGTCAAAATCCAGAACACTTAACCACTGCACCACGGTGCCAAGTTTTCATTTCTATTTTATTTATTTAGATATGTGGCATCACCCTTTACTAGACCATAAGCTCTGAGTAACAAGTGTTTTATGATTCAGGGATATGTTGGTAAATGTTTAACAACCAGCTCTCTGAAATGTATGACATACTTTTTAGTGTACCTTGTACTTTTGGAAGTGTCTAGATAAACAATAGACAAAAGGTATGACTTGTAGCCATTTTGCCGATTTGAGGTGTAAATGCCCACTGAAAACTTAATAGGCCCTTGCTAAAGCATAATGCTGGTTTTAGTCAAACTTTCTATGTCCCAAAGTTTAGCAGGACTCTTTGTCCCACAGTTGCTCATTTTACAGATAAGGAAACTGAAGCAAAACAGGAGCCTCTGGCTCCAAATTCAGTGCTTTTTTGTAATTATGCCATTACTGATTTTTTAAAAAATAAAACCGTTTTAGTAAATGTTCAAATTGTGAAGTTTAGGGGGTAAAATTCAGAGGATTACATATTGTTACTAAAAACAAGAATATTTTTACCATGTCTTAATGAAATTTTACCCATGTGCTCAGTCACTATGCCCTGTAGCTCTCTCATTTTAGATCACACACACACACCCCTTCCATTTTTTTTTTTCACTTCCCATTCATTTTTCACCTTCAATCTGGCTTCTATCTCCACCTCTCAACTTCTCTTTCAGGAGATACCAAGGACCTTGCTATTGCCTTTTCTCCATTCTTATCCTTCTTGAGCCATCTATAACATTTGACCTTATTGATCAACTTGCTCCAGAGATTATTACCATCAAGAAACCATTAAGTGGTATATTGAACCACTAGCATAGTAGGAAGAGCGTTAAACTGAAGGATTTCAATTTTAAATCATGGAAACTTTTATACTACTTAAATACAGGGGCAGGTTGGCCTTTAGGAGCAGATGGCATGTGAGCTGAGCCTTGAAGGGAGCTCAGGGCTCCAGTATTTTTGCCAAGAAAACCCCAAAGAGAGTCATGGAAGAGTGAGATGTGACTGAAAGACAACAACCTTAAACCCTTTTTTCCTTGCAACAATCCTGTGAGATGGGTAGCACAAATATTATTAATCAGCATTTTAAAGAGAACTGAGGTTCAGAGAGGTAAAATTACTTGATCCGGCCACTTGTTACTTGTTTTAGTTGGGCCAGTTTTGAACCCAGGTTTTCTCACCCAATCCCATTTGGCTCAGTTTCCTTATTTGTAAAATGAGCCAGAGAAGGAAATGGCAAACTACTCAAGTATCTTTGCCAAGAAAACCCAAAATGGAGTCATGAATTGTTGGGCTGAAATGACTGAACAACAAGGACCTACCAGACACAGTGTCTGAAGCCAGATTTTAACTCACCGCAGATGCATCTTCCTGACTCCAGGCCCAGCACTCTATTGCTATGACACCTAGCTACCCCTATATAGCTATCAGAAGCTCCCTATAGATATGAACAGGCACTCTAACCACTGTACCATCCAACTGCCTAGTAGGTACATAAATGTTTATTGACTGATTAGCCAAGGTTTTCAGGACATTATTCTCTCATGGCTTTCTTAGTCTCTTTTGCTGAATCATCATCATCTACATCCCCATCTGTTGTATGTGGGCACATGCCAGGGCAGTCCCGAGCCTTTTCTTTCTCTGTGATCTCTACAGCTCCCAAGGGTTTCACTAGCACCTCTAGGCAATTAATTCCCCAAAGCTTCAACTGCCTACTAGATATTCCCCCTGGATATAGCACTGGTATCTCAGACTCAGAGCCAGAAAAGGATTCATTATCTTTCCCCCTCAATCCACCTTATTTTGGTTAATACTTTTCCAACAACCAGGCTTGCAAAGGAGGAGTCAACATCAACTTATCACTTTAACTTCTCACATATCTAATCAGGGGCCAAGTCCTGTCAATTCTTCCTCCACATGAAAACAGCTGCCAAACTGCTCTTCCTAAAGCACAGGTTTGATCAAGTCTCTCTTACTCAAGCTTCCAAGCATTTCTCTGTTGCCTTTATAATTAGGCATAAAGCCCTTCCCAGTCTGCATCTATCTTTTGTTTCCAGGCTGATTATCTTACTCCCTTCTCAAGTAATCTACATTCCAAAGTATCCTTATCATTCCCATCTCCCCACTTCCCCCCACCCCTATACCTTTGTATAAAGAATGGATTTATTTTGTTTTTGTTTGTTTTTGCTAGGCAATGGGGTTAAGTGACTTGCCCAGGGTCACACAGCTAGTAAGTCTCAAATGTTTGGTCTGAGGCCAGATTTGAACTCAGGTCCTCCTGACTCCAGGGCTGGAGCTCTATCCACTGCACCACCTAGCTGCCCATAAAGAATGAATTAAAAGCCACTTTAAATAATCACTTTATGTGCAAGGCAGTGTTGAGTATTGGGGGCACAAATAGAAAAAGGAACAGCCTCACCTCTCAAGCTCACATTTCTAACGTACAGGAAGGTGCAGCTGCAGGGCTGATGGAAAGTCCCAGTGATCCTTAGGATATGGAGCTAAAGACAGATGATGGCGAATTTTGTGGATTATTTCCATTGATGAAACTATATCCATATTGGTTGCTGAATCATTTTGACAAGTTCCAAGAACTGGTGTCTTCTAGTCTGTCCCCCTCACCCAGGATCTCTTTCTCACTTAGGTCTCTAGAAGCCTTCATCTCCTATCAACACTCATCTCACGGGCCATCTGCTCCTAAAGTACTTTCCTCATTCCAACCACCAGCACTCCTCAACCTGCCCTGAATTTACTTAGTATCTATTTTTATTTTTTGTTATTCGCTTATTACTTTATATTGTCTTTATAAAATCCTTTATGTGCTCAGCACATAAGAGGCCTTTAGTAAATGGAGGAATGTGTGTGTGTGTGTGTGTGTGTGTGTGTGTGTGTACATGTACATACCCTCCACTAAGGGAGGGTACCGCACCTTTAGAGTTCCAGTGTGGGCCCTGCACAGGCCGTAGCTTCCTCTCTTGTTTAATCTCCTCCAGGATCTTCTCATGGAGGGTTCGTTGCTTCTGGGGCAAGGGCCGAAGTCTTCTTTCTGACACCTGCAGAGAGCAGATACATAGGAGGCATGACCTAGAATTCTGAGAGGTTTCAAGCAGAATGTGCACATTAAAGCACTCTATAAATGTTTGTAATTAATATCATGGTGCCCATGTACTCCTGTCACCTTTGCCATGTCAGGGAGAAGCTAGGAAGGCTCCTAGAACATTGTATGGACCCACATGAAGAATGGATTGGGGGGGGGCACAGATAAGAGGCCACTGGATGAGCAGGCATGGACATTTCTGAGTTCTAACACCTGTATCGATGAAATCATGGATCCAGCTGAGCATTAAGGGAAGTAAACAGAATCCTTAGTCATTGAGGCAGAGGGTATATTGTGGTTAGAGCAATCTCCCTGAGCTCCAACTTGGGTGTGTCCAGGAAAAGGGCTAATAATTCCTATTTACATAGAGCATTAAGGTTTTCCCCACAACAATCCTGTATAGTAGGTAGTGCAGGTATTATCCCTATTTTACTAGGAGGTAAACAAGATTCAGTTGGGTCAGCCCACAGTCACCCAGATAGGAAGTATTGTCATTAAATTGAAACCAAGATCTCTTAATTAGGATTTCAATCCTCTTTTTGCTATCCCACAAGGATGAGGATGATGACATGATGTTGATGATGACAACAATGGCTAGTATTTAGATAACACTTTAAGGCTTGCAAAAGCACTTCAGTAAATATCATTTTTATCTTCAACATCTCTAGGAAGTAGGTGCTATTAGCAAACAGGTTAAAGTGACCAGTCCAGGATCACACAGATAGTGTTTGAGGCAAGATTGGAATTCTGATTGCTTTCCTGACTCCAGGCCCAATGTTCTACCCACTGAACCACAGAGCTGCCTATAGCATCTCCACAACTCCAAAGTACTGCAGATTCCTAGGATCTTTTTCAACAACGGGTTCCCATCCTGGAGGGATATTAATAGGTTTTACCATGGAAAAGGTTTTGGAATAGTGTTATTTTCCTCTCCCTCCAATCCAACGCAGAATACAGGGGTGGCCAGTTGAATTATTTCCTCCCAGAGCAGTAAACAAAAGTAAAGCAGCTTCCCATACTAGCACTGGGGAGAAAAGCAATTCTCAGGGTCCGTCACTACCCTAGGAGTTTCAAGCTAGACCAGACAGCAGGCCCTCACCTAATAGGACAGGGAGATTTTTTAAAATTAATTTATTTTTAATTTAACATTCACTTCAACAAGCTTTTGAGTTTTAAATTTAAAATTCCCCCTTCCCACTCCTCCCTCCAAGATGGTGTACAATCTGATATAGGCTTTACATTCATGTTAAACATTTTCACATTAGTCATGTAAGGACAGGAAGATTTCTATGGCCAGGCACATGTTCTAGGGACAGGAAACACTCTAAAATTAAGAAACTTCTTGAAACTTTGTGGCTCACTTCCACCTTTTGACAATGGGCATAGCCAAGTACAGTAGGATCCCAAGGCAAAACTGGTTACCTGCTTTAGTGGGGGCCGGGAACGGATAAAATCCAGAATGAGTTCATGGGCATCTTTCTTCACCCTCGGTGGGATGTCGCCATCAACCTGGACAAAGGAAGTAGCAGAGTACATAGGAGATGAGTCAATAGTGAAGATCTGATGGTGTACTACTACTAGGAATACTTATGAAATAGGAGGATGTTCTTGATCTATCCCCATTTTACAGATGGGGAAACAGAGGTACCAAAGCAGATTGGGAATGACCAACAGCATTCCCATTTCTCTCACCTTACCTACCCAACACCAAGGCTTCCTGAGAGTGATATGGCTCAGGAGAGCCCCAAGAGGTGACCTTCTCTTTCCCTGGCCTAGCCACTAGCAGGCCCAGAGTCCCAGGGACTCACCATGACCTTTCGTAGCTTGTAGTTTCGAGCCCGGATATCCTGCATCAACATCTCAAAGGGGGTCAGCTGGTATTCGGTGGGTAGGGGGTTGAACTGCTTCTCTTGGACTTTCTTGAGTTTCACACCATGACGCAACTCCCGCATCAGCTGTACCCAGAGCCGGGCCTGGAACCCACAGAGAGAACAAAACATTGTTCCCACTCAAGTGGCCACTGGTCATCCCTAACATAGCATTGGACTTGAGAGGGATCTCCTGGGTCATCTGTTCCGACCCATACCTAAAAAGAATCATGTCTACCCAGCACCTGACCAGTGGCCTTCCAGCCTTGACTTGAGGACCTCCAGGGCGGGGGAACCCATTGACTCTGGTAGCAGCCCCTTCCTTTCCAAGGTACACCCTTTCCTATCCTTCCCCTAGTCTTCTTCAGGTGAAAGATCCCTGGTTCCTTCAGCTCATCCTAATATAGAATGAACTTGAGGCCTGGGACCCCTCTAGTCATCTTCATGAACTTAGAGCTTTCAGGTTTGCAAGTGTTTTCTTCACAGTGAAATTGTAAGGCAGTTAATACAAATGGGCTCATCTTCATTTTACAAATTGAAAACTGAGCCTGTTAAAGAGCCTGGGACAGGGCACTGAATCCAAACTCCTTTGAACAAATCCCCTTAAAAGGATTTGTTCTATAAAACCTGGACTCAGTCAAAAGACCACACCCAAGGACCTAGAAGTAAACACTTACTTTATTGATTTGCTTTGCTGAAATGCTTTTTCCCCCCTCTTTCTTTTTTGTTAGAAGAGCTCCCAAGAACCTAGAAGGCCACACACGGCCTGGAGGCCCCAGGCTCCCCTGGACTTGCCCAGCATTACACAGCTGACCAGGTTCTGAAGGTCTTCATACTGAAAGTTAGGCACCCACCCTCTCCACTGAGGACCCCTTCCCATCACAAAATGCTGGACATAAGAGGAGAAAAAGCCAGGTGGCAGAATGCTAAAATTGGATTTGGAACCCTACCCCGGATACATCCTAGCTGTGGGCCAATTACTTAATCTTTCTTGGCCTCAAGTTCCTCATCTATAAAATGGGGAAAAATAAATAGCACCTTCCTCATGGTGATAAACACATATCAGTTCTTGCAAACCTTTAAGTACTATATAAATGCTAGCTGTCATTCTATTCTAAGAAAAGGAAGAACAAGGTGAGGATTGAACCAGAGTTCCCCATGCCCTGCCTGAGTAAGGGTTTTGGGGAGAAGAAATAGTCCTCCCTTACCCAGTCTTTGTGCCGAAGGTTGTCCAGGTCAGCTTGTGGCTTCTCTGCCTGGGACTCATCCTCCCGAAGTCTGAGCAGCATCTGTAATCACACACAATCCCATAGAAGGGTCTTATAGAGCTAGGCACATTAGGAAGGAAGAGGAGGACAAAAGGAGGTTTATCTTTGTTGCTAGGCAGAGGAAAGAGACATGGAGAAAATTAACACTTGAGTTAACACATTAACACATTCAGTTGGTGGCAGAGCATCGGCTGACCTTCCTTACCGTAAGCCCTTGTCAGCCAAATTTTCCTTACCATGCTAGCCACTGGCCTCCCAACAGTCCCGTGATATGCTAATAAAAGGGACAAGTGGGCATTTCAACCTGAGACTAGCAACTGGGAGCTGGGGAAGACATCTGGGTAAGAGCAGATCATCCAGACCGGGCCTCTTTTCTCCCCTGGACCTCACATCTGAGAGAATAGAGATATCTCATAGTGGGGAAGGCAGTAGTAGGGTTGGCCCACATGGTAACTCAGGGTTTTAAGAGCTTCCAATCCAATGTTCTGCCTAAGAGCAGGGAGAGGCTGCCAGACACACGCTGGCTAGTAGTACTAGGCCAGGAAGAGGTACTAAAAGTGGGGCATCAGACTGGGTACTACACAGGGCAAGGATCACCATGGCAACCTGGAGGGTTAAGTTTCTCCAGGTTCCATAATACTAAGCCTGACCCTTAGAGGTGAAGACCACTGGGCTTTTAAAAATTCCCCAGTTTACAGTTAAAAAAAAAAAAAGAAAAAGAAAAAGAAAAAAGAAAAAAAAAATCAACCTATGGCTCTCTAAAGTTTGGGCATCATCTTACTGTGGCCCCTTAAGCGCTTAGAGTTTCCTTCACTAATGAATAATTACCTAAGGGACCTGGGTGGGTGTAATCTAACAAATAAGGCTTGAGATGCCAAGAACACATTACCGAGCAGATTCTGGGAATAGAAGAACCCAAACCGGTGCTTAGGGCATTAGGAAACACTAACAGTATTGTGAGGAGAACCTGAGAAGATGTGGCATTACCTTCCCAATTGAGAATCAGTAGGCTTTGTTGCTGCAGCATCTGAGCTGGGAATGTAGACAGAAACCACTGAGTTAATCCCTACCCCAACCTGCTATCTCATAGCTGGGTATTTTAGAAGAGCCCTTTTCTCCTCACTCTCCCCCTCGTTCAGTGAGAAGTGGCAGAGTGGGGCCTCTATCCCTTAGTTTTGTAGCTCCTTTTAACTGTGACTTGGTTTAGACTTGATTCCCAAGTACAAAACAAGCTTCTCTGGCTCTTTAATCTCCTAGTCCTCAACTGGTCCAGGAAACTGTGGTATCTGTCGTCATCTTGAGCAATGAGTGTTGATATTTTAAACATTTATTTTCTTTTAAACCTTTAAACTGATCTTTTGTTGCTATATTAACCTTCATTTCCCAACATATTCAATAAAAAGTCAATAAAAATTTATCAAGGACCTACAATGTGCCAGACACTGAGCTAAGTGCTGGGAATAAAAAATATAAAATAAATATGATCATAAAATAAAAAATATGAAAAGAAATATATGCTCCCCGTTCCTCATCCAGAGAGCCATCTCTAATAATAAGGAATAAAAAAGGGGGGGTTCAAGTAAGCAAAACTAATCAATTAATCAAATCTGACATTCCACACCCATAATCCCCCACCTCTACAAACAAAGAGACAGTATATTTTCCTATTTCTTCGTTAGAATTAGGAGTGCTCAGGTTTTTTTGTGGTGTTGCAATACAGGCTTTTAATAATTGTTCTTACATAGAATTTGGTTGGAACACTCTGGGCCAACAGCATATATGGATGATCAGTGCCTCCACCATTTGTTTTCCTCTCTTTCTAGCTGGAGGATTAAACCTGCAAAGGGTGACAGTTTATGCTCCTGGAAGTGACTCTTCCCAGTTGGAGGAGACTCAGCTGCCTACAAGAAGCTTAGTAGAGTCAGCTACTTCAGAGACCTCTCATCTTCTATTCATTGAGAACTTCCAAAGCTACTTGTAAGCTTTAGGTCACTTACTAAACCAGTTAAATTAGATGAGTGATTTTAATTCAATAGATGTTGGAATAGAATGAGAAGGCCCAATCCCCTCATTTTATAGACGAAAAAAATGAGATCAAGAGAGGGAAAAGAGGCTCCCCCAAGGTCACACAGGAAATTAGTGGCAGAGCTGGGACCTGAATCCGGGACTTTTTTCATACATTATAGCTCTCTTACTAAGCACTTACAATCTAATGGGGGTAGGGCCAATGTGCAGAAGGTATATAGACCAGTATGATACGTGGTAGAATGTGATAAGTGCTATATGAAATTTGAGGATAAAGGGCTTATTATTTACCTTGAGGAGAGAAAAGGACATCAGGAAAGGTATCATGGAGGGGTAGGCCCTAACTTGGGTGGTGAAGCAAAGGTTATATTTCAATAAGGTCAAATGTGAAGGGAGGTACATTCCAGGCATAGTGTGGGTAAAAGGTGGCCTTAAATGTTCCAAAATGGCAGTTGAGATTAAAGAATTTGAATGGGCCAAGTGGCCTACAGCAATAGTATCAAAATCAAATAGAAAAGGCATTGCTAATCTGTATATAAGGATCTCTGCAGGTCACATTTAGTTTTACAATGTAATATTATCTGTTTTATTGTATTCATTTTGTTGGATATTTCCCTATGACATTTCAGTCTGGTTCAACTGCCTGCTGGCCTGTAGTCTAAGTGTGTGATACCTCTCGGCTAGAGCATAGCTTGGGTAAAAGGGAAGAGTGTGATATTAAGAGTTGAAAAGTAGGTTGGGGCCTTAAATGCCAACTTAACCTTAAGCACAGATCACTGGGATGGCAGTGGTAAAGGAGGATAAGGGATTCTGATCATCCTCTAATCACAGGAAGTGTCTGAACTGTATGTCTTCTGGAATCAAATGCTGAGATGCTGAGGAAAACTGGGAATTGGCTAAGATAGGTAGCATAGCTCATAAAAGAGGTTGGGCATCTTTGGAACAATAGAGTGTCTTCGAGACAAACTACATTGTGTTTGATAAGAGACTCAGACTTGGTGGTAGTTCTGTTTTTGAACAGACCCACTTGGGGATTCCCTACCCAAATCAGCCAAAGAGCCAGAGACCTAGTCTAGTCCAACCAATTTCATGAATCAGGAAACACCCAGGAGGTGAATCAACTTGCTCGAGGTCACGAAAGAAATAAATGGTAAAGTTAGGATTTTAACTTAGATCTTCTGATTCTAAAAATCTATTGTTCTTTCCAATTCAATTCAATACATGGTTACTGAGCACCTACTATGTGCCAGGCACTGTGCTAAACACAGGGGCAAACAGGCAAAAAGATAGCCCCTGACCTCAAGGAGCTTCATTTAATCATCTCCACTATGAAAATAATCAAGGTGTACTGGCCACAGAAGAACCAAGATAGTGATAGGAACAAATGCAAACCCCCTTTTCCAAAGCTCTAAGCTCATGCTTGTGTCCCTTTTACCTCAATTGTCTATCTGTGTAAGGGGGTTAATCATGAGGTGAGGACATTCTCAAACTTTTATTAGCATTTTCTGTTCTTAGTTCAATAAAAAACATGTATGGTGGAGTAGAAAGAGGCCTGTTTTTGGAGTCAAAAGACTTAGCACAGTGCTTGGCACCTAGTAGGGACTTATTGATTGAACTGAAGTGGGATTTAAATTCAGGTCTTAAGACTCCCTGTCTGGTGCTCATCGGGTAGACAGACTGTCAGAACAAAACCGGGGCCCAGACAGGTTAGAAGCTTCTCCCAAAGTCACAAGGTCATCAAATCAATTGTGGAGCCAAGGTTTGGAACAGAGATTCAAGTCTAGTACCCTTTCCATTAGATTACTTTTTCTTTTTTTTCCAGGCAATTGGGGTTAAGTGACTTTCCCAGAGTCACACAGCTAGTAAGTGTCAAGTGTTTGGTCTGAGGCTGCATTTGAACTCAGGTCCTCCTGACTTCAGAGCCGGTGCTCTATCCGCTGCGCCACCTAGCTGCCCCTAGATTACTTTTTCTTTCATGAGTCCTGAAATATCTCTTCATCCCTTTGATCTATACTATATATTAAAATCATAGAATTAAGTAACAAAAGGACTCTTGTCCAAAGTAGGCTTAAATGAGTTGGTCAAGGTCACTCATTTTACTTAATGGTCAATCTTCTTCACCCCCAGTCCACTGGTCTTTCCACTTCCATGTATTTGCTATAGAATCATTCTTTCATTTCTATATATACCCGTCTCCCAAACTAGAACATAAAGCACAGCCTCTGTGCCCTCACAGTAAACAATCAAAGCTGGTTGAATGAATGAAAACATTTCCACCATTACATCCAACCTACCTCCTTGGCCTCCCGGATTTTGGTGAGAAAGGCCTTCAGTTCTACTGTCTCTACAAAAAGGGCCCGGCACACAGCCTGATAGTGAGGTTGGGCCTCTCTGGAGTCTGTCAGGCGGGAAGAACACATCCTCATGACTTGGGAAAATGAACGTATGCTTCTCACGGGGCCCTCAAAGGATTCTTCTTCTTCTTCTTGCCCCCCATAACCCTCGTCAGCAGCTCCGCAGCCATTGTCTTCAGAATCACTATTGGCCATGAGATCAATGAGCTGCTCTAACTGGGGACTGAGCTCCCTTTCTTCACTCTCATCCAGCCCCCAATCCAGAGCTCGGTAGATGGCAAAACCCAGAGACTGGACCATCTGAAAAGAGAAGACATTTATTTATAGCAGGGAGTTGACATCATCACAGTCACATGGCACCTACCCACCTACTAAGTGCTTAGACACCTAGATACTATGGAAAATACAAAAGTATAAAGTGTGGAACCTGCCCTCAGGTTAAATACCTAGTTAGGAAGATAGTATTAACTCAAGATACTGGCTAATAGTATCAACTATAAATGGATAGGAATTCAAAGAAAGGGAGAAGTCTACTTAAAGAGATGGAATGGGATCTGATTTTGGCCTAAGAAGGAGAGGTAGAGTTTATTTGAAAAGGTTGATGGGTATTCTTTGTTTTAAAAATCATAGTCATTTTTAGGTATTCACCTTTCCACCCCTCCCCAATTCCCATAGTTAGGAGGAAAAAAATAACCCAAATAATTAATCCAGAGAAAGTGTATGCAATATTCCATACTCAAGTCCAACAAAACAATGGATACACATTTCCCCACCTCTTGGGGGAGGGAGGGTCCTTTTAATTACAAGGTCCCCTTCATTTTATTGTTCTTTTCATTTACATTATTATGGGGCAGCTACATGGCAGTAGATAGAGTTCCAGGCCTGGAGTCAGGAAGATGAGTCTTCCTGAGTTCAAATCTGTCCTCAGATACTTACCAGTTATATGACCCTGAGCAAGTCACTTAACTCTATTTGCCTCAGTTTCCTCATCTATAAAATGAGTTGCAGAGGGAAATGGCAAACCACTCCAAATGGGGTCAAGAAGAGTCGTATGCAGACTAAACAACAACTTCATTTTATTGTTCTTTTTATTTACATTATCATAGGAATAGTAAATGTGCTTTCTGGGTTCTGCTTTGTAAGGAGTGGGGATTGGTTGGGGGAATCTGATGAAATTGAAAAGTTGGGGCTTTTTTACATATTTTTTAATTGATTTTTTTTCCACTTAATAGTATTTATTTTTCCAATCACATGTAAAGATAGTTTTCAACATTTACTTTTATAAGATTTGAGTTCCACATTTTTTTTTCTCCCTGCCTCCCCGCTCCCTTCTCCAAGACAGCAAGCAATCTGATATAGGCCATACATGTACGATCATATTAAACATTTCTACATTAGTCATGTTGTGAAAGAAGAATCAGAACAAAAGGGAAATACCATGAAAAAGAAATAACATAAAACAAGTGAAAATAGTATGCTTCCATCTGCGCTCAGACTCCATAGTTCTTTCTCTGGGTGTGGACAGCATTTTCTATCATGAATCTTTTGGAATTGTCTTAGATCCTTGCATAGCTGAGAAGAGCTAAGTCTATCAAAGTTGGTCATTGCACAATGTTGCTATTATTGTGCACAATGTTCTCCTGGTTCTGCTCACTTCACTCAGCATCAGTTCATATAAGTCTTTCCACATTTTTAAAAAATAATTTAGTTGTTATCTCTTGTTTTTTTCAATCACCAGAAATTTTTTTTTGTTTTTGGATTTATCAAACACTGGGTTACTGAGTTCCATTTTTTCTGACTCTCTTGTCTCCCTTGTTTAATCTGATTCTCCATTAATTTACTTTTCTGCTTTATTTATTGTTTGTTTATTCATTCATTCAGGGCCGGTGCTCCATCCACTATACCACCTAGCTGCTCCCTTACTTTTCTATTTTTAAACTAATACCAAATGATTTATAATATATCTTGAGGTTTGAAAGTGCTACCTTCCCCACCCCCATTCCTACCTTTTTTATTTGATAACTTTTGTTTCTCCAAATGAATTTTGCCTTTATTTTATAGACTTCTATAAAGTGTCCCTTTTATAGTTTGATTGGGATAGTATTTAAGTTGTAAATTAATTTCATAGTATTGTCATTTTTATTAGATTGGCGTGGCCCAGCCAGGAACACTGAATATACCTCCAGCTATTTAAATTGTTCTTTGTTTCTTTAAGAGCATTTTGTAATTGCATTTATACAAGTATTTTGTGGACTTTGGTAGATTGATCCCCAAATATACATTTAGTCGTTTTTAAAATTCATTTTGAATAGTATTTCCCTTTCTATTATTGCCCTCTTAGATTTTGTCATCATTATATAGAAATGCTACTGATTTTTGCTGGTTTATTTTGTAGCCTGAATCTTTGCTGCAGATAGTATCTCAACAAATACCTTGACTAGGATTTTCTAAATAAGCCATCACTCATTAGCATATAGGGATGATTTAAATTCCAAAACTGAGATGTTTTTTAAAGAAGGTATTAAGATTATAAGGTGTGTGGGGGGAGAGGTGTAAATCCCAGATCAAATTAAATAAATTCTTAAATCAATCTAGTTGCCCTCCACTCCCACCCCCAGGGTCACGGCAAGTCAACAAGCATTTGCTAAGTACCTAAAGTTCCCCGGGTGCTTAAGTAGTATATAAATATCCAATCAATCTATCCACAAGCATTAATTAAGCTTTTAGTGGTAGGGCTAGAGAAAGTGAACAGTGCCTGCCCTCAAGAAACTTACAGTCTATCCAGGGAAACAACATATGTAGATAAAGTACATAATAGTATACAAAATAGTATGGGGGGAGGGAAGAGGAATGGTATCTGGGGGAAGTGAGTCTGGGAAGGCCTCTCATAGGAGATGGCACTGAAACCAAGCTTTTAAGAACTCCAGAGAGTCCAAGAGGTACAGATGAGAGGGGAGATTTCAGGCATGAGGATTCAGCTTGTACAAAAGGCTTGGGAAATGGAAAGTTGTTTACTAGGATCAGCAAGTAGTTGAGGTTGACTGGATCACAGATGGTGTGAAGGGCTTACTATAGAATGAGCCTGGAAAGGTAGGACAGACCCTATGGCCACCTACTGAGCAAATGAGGAGATTGGAAGTTCAGTAACTTGTGTGACTCTTACAAAACTAGCAATCCCAACCCAAGTTCTCCGATTTTGAATCATCCTCGTGTTCTGCTAGACCGTGGTGCCCAAAAGTCCCAGCTCCTTTTCCTGGAGCAGGGGGAGTGACTGAGTGAACACAAGCTTAATGAGTAGTTCAGCTTAATGGTCCAATTTTGAATTTGTAGAGTGCCTTTAGCATGTTCACTGCTGAAATTTCCCTTTCAGACAACCTCCCACTTATGTCTTATGCTTGTATGTTTACATGCTGGCTCCCTCTTTAGAATATAAATTCCTTGAGGGCAAAGGGGTTATTTTGTTTTGGTTTGGTTTGGGGTTTTTTGCCTTTGTCTGTATCCCTAGAGCTTAAGTTCTAGCATTATAGTTAAGTGCTTAATACATGTTTGGTGACTAAGTGACTATTAGCTCATTTGATCTGGATGCTATGGAAGAGAAAAAGCCAGGCGAAGATGGGGCAGGAAGGCCAGCTATGGGTCTATAGCAACTGGCCACGTTAGGACAGAGGAAAGAAAGGCACACCATGCAGTAGAGTGACCCCATTCCTACTAAATTTGTGCTGATACAGAATCCCCCACTTGGCTGGGGAGTGAGGGGGAATGACCCACCAATCACATCTCCCTCCCCCTTGTCTTGGTCCAGGGGTTGGGGCAGAGTAAAGAAGCTTGGCCGACTCTGTTCTCTTTTCCCTCCCTGAGGACCCGAGAGCCCTGGTTTCCTATATCTTCATTACTAAGTGAGCTGATGGGAAATATGAGCCTTGTGGGGAGAGGAGAGAACAGAATAGGCCTTAAAAGCAGGTACTGTGCAGGGAATGAGCCAGCAGACAGGGACAGCATTCACTGCTCTTCAGACAGTACTTTATACAAAGGATAGAGTTGAGGAAGGTCCAGTGGCAGGGAGGAAGGGAAGTTGGCCATCAACAAGGTCCTGATCTCACACACCAGAAAGAGAAGAGGGGGCAGCTAGGTGGCAGCTAGGTGGCGCAGTGCATAGAGCACCGGCCCTGGAGTCAGGAGGACCTGAGTTCAAATCCGGTCTCAGACACATAACACTCATTAGCTGTATGATCCTGGGCAAGTCACTTACCTGGTTGGCCTTAGTTTCCTCACCTGTAAAATGAGCTGGAGAAGGAAATGGCAAACCATTCCAGTATCTTTTCTAAGAAAACACCAAATGGGGTCATGGAGAGTAGGACTCGACTGAAAAAAATGACTCAACAATATAGCAAATATGGACTGTGTCAACCTGCAAAGAATCAGCCCAACTATTTTATCTCCCTTCTGATAAGGCAGGTTCAGGTCACGAACATAAGATATGAGTTAAACCATGGAGTGGAGGGTCAGATGGCAGTCACTGAGTGGGCCCAACAAATAAAAATAAATACCATCCTCAGGGACTTTTCCTAGAGGGTCCAGGGACCTCTACAGCTTCTGTGGATAGATTTCAAAGGTCCATGAACTTGGATGGGGGAAAACACATATATTGTCATTTTCACTAACCTCTAACTGAAATCTAGCATTTTCTTCAATTGTAAATTGTTAAGTATGTATGTGGGGGAAGAAACAAATATTTATTAAGAGTCTACTGTGTGTCAGGCACTCTCCTAAACACTTTATAAAAATTATCTTATTTAAAAGAAAACTGAGAAGGGCCCCATAAGTTTCCCCAGAATGCCAAAGGGGTCAAGGTCATAAAAAAGTACTTATAACTTCTGACCTAGAAGAATGCTCTGCAGGTAGATCAGGTTAATGGTGGATGTTCCAATGGGTTTTCAGTTCTCTAATAAATGACTTTCAGTGCCTATAAAGGTGCTATGCAGGGATGCTGTGAAGGATTTTGCTATTAGAGAGTAATATTATTGGGGATTTTCTTTAGGAAACTAGGGGTTTATTTGTTACTGAAGAAAAAAATAGAAAAGCTGATCAGTCAAATTGATTAGAAGAAAAAGATTAAGAAGGCATTGGACTTGTGGGAATCTAGGCTTTGATAAAATGAAGGATGCAAAGTATCATCCAAAAAACCTCTTCATTTAAACAAGAACTGATGGGAAAGCTAGAGAGTGGTTTTGCAGAAAATAGGTTTGGACCAGCATATGCCCAAGACAGCTAGGTGGCTATGGGGCAGGTCTTAGAAGCAGAAAGACTGGAGTTTCAGGCCTGACTCAGATGTTTACTAGTTGTACGACCCTAGACAAATGACTTCATCTTTTTCAACCTCAGTTCTCTCATCTGTAAAATGGAGACGTAATAGCACTTACCTTACAGGGTTTGTTGTGAGGACCCAATGAAACAACACACACAAAGAGCGTTATTTTTGTTGCGTGGTCATGTGCTACTCTGCTTGGGTTTTCTTGGCAAAGATACTGGAATAGGTTGCCATTTCCTGCTGCAGCTCATTTTATAGATGAGGAAACTGAGGCCAACAGAGTTAAGTGACTTGCCCAGGGTCACTAGTAAGTGACTCCAGGGCCTGAGCTCTATCCACTGTGCCACCTAGCTGCCCAAGTGCTATATACATGTTAGCTATTATCTGTTTGACACTTAAAGCCCTTCACAATCAGCACCTAGCTGCTGTATTATAGCTATTATTATTATTATTAGCTATTACAATATAATAAATTCCAAATGTATGAGAGCTAAATATAAAACTATATAAATATAAAAAAGCCGTACCACTAAAAAGTTAGAGGAGAATGGAAGGTTATAGAGCTTACTGTGGATAGGGGAAGAAAACAGGAAATACAGATTCATCGCTGGTAGAACAGTCCAACTTGTTTTAGAAAATAATCCATAATTATGCAAGAGAAGTTACAAAATTGCTCAGAGCCACTGACCCAGAGATCCCCATTATTAGGTTTATGACCCAGTGAGGTTGTCAGCAAAAGTAAAATACCTATCTGTATTAAAATATTCTTAGCAGCACCACCGGGAACAGCTAAAAAAAAATGTGGAAACAGTTTGTGTTAGGAACAACTGGGAATGATTGACCAAATTGTGGTATATGAATGTAATGGAATATTATTACTGCATAAAGTAATAAAGAAAGTTGCATATGACGCATTCAGAGAAAGATGGGAAAATCTATTGTGAAGTGATACTGAATGAATAAAGAAGACTCCCCCCACAAAAAAATCCCAACAGTATATACCCTTGCTACCAGAATGGAAAACAGCTTTAAATAGCAATAAAACTATGCTCAAAGTCACAGTGTTGATGCTAACTTCCACAGCCCATGCCTGGCTTTTCTTTTAACAAATGGAAAATTACCAAAGAATTACCAAAGTAGAAGGTTGAAAGGACTTTCGATGTTGTTCTGTTTTTGAATATTGTTCACTGGGGGAGATTGAACTGTGATACCTTATGGTTTTGTATGTGTTGAAGCAAAATTTTTTTTTTAAAGGAAACTGGAAACTGCAAAAGCAAGTTTGACCAACTTTGCTCTCTTATCTAAAAGTTGTGGTTAAGTAATTTTTTAGTCATGTCTGACTTTTCTTGACCCCATTTGGGGTTTTCTTGGCAGAAATAATGGAGTGTTTTGCCATATCTTTCTCTAGTTCATTTTACAGAGAAACTGAGGCCAAAAGGGTTAAGTGACTTGCCCAAGGTCACACAGCTAGTAAGTATCTGAGACTGGATTTGAACTCATGAAGATGAGTCTTCCTGACTCCAGGCATGGCATTCTATCCACTTTACCACCTAGCTGTCCCCTTTCCTATACGGATCAATGATGTCACAAAAGACATCTTGATTTGCTAAGAATTAGATTTAAGTGAGGCAGAGCTGTACAAAGTAGTCAACCTCACTCTCTTCCAGAGTATTAAAGTTCAGTAGTAAGACAGGACGCAGTGGATGACCTTGGCTTCTTTGATGTCTGAACAGCTCTAAGCACTCTATAGCATCTGCTTCAGTAGCCTTTATGGCTGTTGGAACAAATTCTAAAGGGGGGTGGGGTGTGTTTCCATATGCTTGGGGTAGACATCCCCCTAACTCACCAACAAGTTTGAGGCCTGTTGGTTACCCTCAACCTGGTTTAGCCATCTATTGAGGGAGTTTTACTGGGGTGTGGCTTCTGCTTAATAAACACTTATTGAAAGAATGAGTTAATCTTCAGGTCGTCTTCAGCACTAGGCTAGAGCTCCACTCTGGTGTTAAAAGGGTTAACTAATTTCCCAGCCTCTGTCTTATCTGATGAAGACTTGTTGATTAAATCCCTTCTTGGTGATTTCCTACCTCCCTCATTTCCCCCTCTCCATAGGGAAAAAATCTGGGATCAATGCCAAGTAGAGCTGTCTAGCTTCCAGAAGAATGCCAAATAACTCCCCACATCCACTCTGCCCCCAAACAAAGCTCCCAACCAGAGAATTCTGATTCTCACTTTTGATGCCTGATCAAGGTATCTTATAATGAGAGCCAAGAAACTGCTGTGGATCAGCACAAGTAGCCAAAATGAATGGGGGAAAAACTCCAAAATACCAAACTTCTGTAGCTCAGTAGTCTCTAAATGCACACAACCGTTAATGTCAGCCCCATTTTGGAGATCATCATCCTAGCTCGGGCAGAAATGAAGGGGCGCTCAACTCGGGGGCCTTTGGTTAAAATCCTGCTTCTGAAGCTTATTCCCTGTGTGACTTTGGGCTGGGCTTTTAACCTTTCTGGGCATGAGGTTTTTCCTCTATAGAAGGAGGGGGTTGGATTTAGGGGGCCTCTGGGTTCCTTTCCAGCTAGATCTATGATCCCTAGGAAATAGATTCACACTGCAGCAGATTTAATTTAGGTTAATTCTGAGGAATCAGTTTCCTGAGGCTCTGGGAATATTGTCTGCAGACAACGGTAAATTAAAGTCTATGCAAGATTTCAGATGAGACTTCCTTACCCTTTATTAGATTTATGATAATCAATCAATAAGTATTTATTATTTGTGCCTACTATGTGCTAGGCAACATGGCTTATTGGATAGAGAACTGGCTATAGTTTCACACTTGAGGACTTAGAGGTCCTCGAGGCTGCAGGTTCCCCACCCCTGGGCTACAGGTTCAAGTCTTAGCTCTGACACATTTACAGTGACTGCTAATTATTTAACATCTCAGTGCTCCAGGAAATTTAAGATTCTAAACCACAGAGGCATGCCTGTAATCTTTGTTACTAGGAGAGGCTGAAAATGAAAGACTGAAGGATCTCTGGAGCTCCAGAGTTCTGAGCTGCAGTGGGTTAGACAAATGGAGCTTCTGAACTAAGTGCAGTCCCACTATGGAGAGTCCCCAAAGGCAGGGAGAGCCACCAGGGGGACAAATTGTCCCATTCAGAAATGGAGCAGGCCAAAGCTTCTGCCTGATTCATAGGAGCCACTCATATACTGAGCAAACTAGGGAGATCTAGTCTCCAAAAAAGAAAAAGAAAAAAAAATGCAAAGAAAGTGCTGATTTTCATTGGTAGAGGAAATTCCAAGAGTCCATGAAATCTCAGTTTGGATTTCACAACTCCACCCAAAAATCCATCCACCTACCTCCCAGGATGGTTGTGAGGATCAAGTGAGTTAATTATTGTAAAACTCTTAGCTCAGTGCCTGGCACATAGTAAGCTCTATATAAATACTAATTATGATGATCATTATCACAAAGACAAATATATGAAGAGTCTCTTCCCTTGAGGAATTTACTTGCTTTTATTCCATTAAGGGAAACATCATATACACATACAAATTTATAGAAAATAAATAAAAGGTAAGTTGGGGTAGGGGAAAAAGGCCTCGTATAGGTAGTGAGCATTTGTGCTGACCCTTGAAGGAAGTTGGGAATTCTAAGAGGCAGAGGTTAAGAAGTCTATTCTAGACAGAGAGAAGAGCACATATGAAGGGACCAAATGGGGAGATGGTGTATTGAAGGCTAGTTTTGCTGGACAAGAATGTGTGTGAAGGAGGATGATGTGGAAATGTCTTGGCATGGCCCCATCCCTTTCTACAATTCAGGATCTTGCTAGATAATATTCACCCCGATTTTACAAGACCCAGTCAATATCCAACTGTTGCTTAGGAGGCAGGAATCATCTAGATGACTATTATGGGCCACTAAGAACTCCATGACTCTCTGGTCCTGTATTTTTTGAGTGATAAAGTACATACCTGGGCTTCTGTGTTGGCTGGTGGTGCTACCATGGTTGAGGAGTCTGCAAGAAGAGAAAGAGACTGTTAAGTCACTGCTAAGTAGGCCAAGGGTTTTTAATTTTAAATGCAAGTTTTATTCCATCTACCTCCTTCAAGTATACCTTTTTTTTTTATGGAATACTGAAACATAGATTACAACATCTTGAATAGGCAAGAGAAGAACTGGACAATTTTACTGTAATACTTTAAACATTTGTGATTTTTGTCAATGTGGGTAGTCCCTATGCTGATGCAGATTGCAACCCCTCCTCAACTTTAGTAGAGTGCCTTTGAGAGTTGCTGTGACCAAAACAAATGCATCAGCCAGTAGCCAATCTGGCCTGATCATGAGATTTAGTGGGAGGCTCCAAGAGCTTCACTGATTTGCCAAAGCTCACAAAGGCAGTAGTGGAACTGGGATTCAACAATCTAGGTCCTCCAATGCTAAATCTAGTGTGATTTCTCTCTGAATTTAGCCAGATTAGGCTTCAGATGAGATGGACAGAGTACATCACTGGGTCTATACTCAAAGCCTTTGCTTTTTGATAAAACCTGCCCAAACTCGTGCTTTACTGGCATAACTTGTAAGAACCTGAGGTCACCTTCTTGTCTTGATGAAGCATCGGAGTGGGGCTTTATGGAAGTCCAGCCTATTAAATAATTGATCTATCAATCAATCTAATCAATAAGAATTTATTGGGCTCCTACTATAGGACGGACATTATGCTAGGTGATGTGTATATAAAGACCAAACCAAAAGAAACCTATTATCAATGAGTTTATATCCTAATAGAGGAGACAACTATGCACATTTATAATTGGCCAATGAGCCCAGCCCTTATTAGCATGAACAGAGTGCTTGGCTGACTCGTTTCCCACCTTGGAGCTTGTACAGATATTCTTTAAATTGGTTCTAGTCTTCTAGCTGCTGTATGAAGAGAAGCCTCTTGATTGGCCACAACTTGTGGTACAATCAGAAGGTACTAGTTGACCAGAACTGTCTTGGTTTGATGTCTTCCTGTTGGTGGCATTCAGGTAAGAGAAGAGGGGCAAAGCTGTAAGGGGAAAGGGAGTTTTTAAATCTTCCCCACCCATGAGTATGGGCCTCAGTTCTTTGCTTTGGTGTTTGTTCTTTTATTTTAGGTTAAGGAGATTAGAGGAGGTATGGGGGTGAAGCCAGGCTGGGTTTTGTACCCATTCAAGCATTGATGCCCCAAGTACTTAAGAATGGCCTTTAGAACTCAACACAGTCAGTTGAGTAGCATTTATTAAATGCCTACTATATGCCAGGCACTATAGTAAAAGCTAGAGATACAAAAAAGGCCCAAACCCAAACAGATCACAGTTCCTGCTCTCAAGGAGCTCATAATCTAATGAGGGAGACAACATGTCAACCGCTATATACAAAGATTATATATATATATATATATATATATATGTATGTATGTATGTATGCATGTATGTATATATAAAGAGAGACAGAGAGACAAAGACAGAGGGAAGGTACTAGGATTAAGGACTGGGAAAAGCCTCTTGCAGAAGGTAGGACTGGGACTTATACAGAACAGATGTCCCATTTGGATGTGAACTTGGTAGGACCAATGCTATGAAAAACTGAGTTAACCACTCTTACCAGAGACCAAGGAAGTATATAGGAGAGTGCACCCCTCCAGTTGTTGGGGAAAATGTACTTCTGTTCTTGCTATATCTTCAAAACAAATATTCTTTTGTAAAAGTGAAACAATGTTAATTGATTATACGGGATTAAGGAGTTAAGCAGTACTAGGTAATTGGAGGAACATGTCAGAATGGGAGCTTGAACTGATAGCATTAGAGAAATGCCCCCTTGTCTCTCAAGGGTATTCTTAGGTCCTTGAGATGTAATCAGCCTTGTTCTAGGAGAGTAAGGCTAGAGTACTTGCTATATACAAAGTGCATGCTAGGTAACCTTGGAAGCAGGAGATAAAAGATCAGGGGCTGGACATATAGATCTGCTAGTCATCTGCAAAGAAATGATAATTAAATCCATGGGAGCTGATAAAGTCACCGAATAAGAGGATATAGAGAAAGAAGAGGGATCCAGGTCACAGCCTTGGGGGACAGCCACAATTACAAGGCATGAGGTGGATGAGGCTTCCATGGAAAGATCAGTTCATTTAATAGAACAGCTGCAGAAGATCCAGAAACCATATATCCTCAACATCAAGAATGCCTTCTTGCCTGCCATCTTGGGGAGAGAGGCAGGGAAAGGGGGGGGGAGAAAATTTAAAATTCAAAAGCTTATGGAAGTGATTGTTGAAAACTAAAAATAAATTTTTTTAAAATGCCTTCAAAGCCTGTTTACAAGATGCTCCCAAGAAGTTTGACTTTGATTTCCCCATTTTACAAACAAGGAAATGGAGGTTTAAAGAACTGAGGATCTTAAAGAGTCAATACTATTCATAAGGTCTAGAGTTTAGGGGTGCAGGGACCTCAAGATCACGACATGTGGGTCCTGCCTGAAAGAATTTGACCCAAGCCTTCTTTCAGCCAAAGACAAAGTTTACTAAAGATCTGCCATATTGGCCATACTTTTAAGGAATCTGAGAGTCTATGAGCTCTTGGCTGGATTATAAGAATCTGAGCAGTGGCTAGATTTTAAGAATCTAAATATTTTAGTGGATACAAGATGGACTTTATATACAGAAAAACTGGGAGAGATCTAGGAGTGGCCAAGTAGTCTGAGGGGACTATGAAGTAATAGAATACCAGGGACCTGGGGCCAAGGGACAGTGAAGCCTAGATAGGATTAAGGGTGGGAAGTTGCCACAGGGAGGTAAGACAATGGAGGGCTAAGATTATGGCCTCAGGGGAACGCCAGAGATTTGGCCTTGTGGGAAAGTCCAGGATTTTTCCTTTTTGGGGTCTAGATCCTATCCTCCTCACTATAACTAGGACCAGAATATAGATTTTCCCACTCTAGGATTTCAGGCTTAGTAAAGACTTGATGCCTCTAGCTTAGAAAAAGATAGACCGGTGCTGGGTGACCAGATTTTCTTGGTGCTAAAACTGGCCAAAGTTGTGGTATTTGTTTATTTTCTGCTTTAGTCCAATGGTATCTCAGGAGCTAATTTTCCTGAGATACAAAGTTAGAATTGTACCAGATTCACTATTGCCAAGAGAACCTGCTAATTTTGTAAAGGTTTACAAAGCATTATCAAGAACCAAAAGTGTTCTAAGGATAAAAATCAACATTGTACTGATACACCAAGTATTAGAAGATGAGGACCCAGAACATCATGTTAATTTGACTTAGAGCTCATGATTTTAGATGGCAAAAAAGAAAACAGATGATAAACTATAGATTTGTTAGAAAAAAGTATCTGAAAGACAAAAAACATGTTATCAATTGTATCTGGTCTTACTTAGCAAAATCCATAATGTCACAACACATAACACACACTAGCTGTGTGACCCTGGGCAAGTCACTTAATCCCATTTGCCTAGCAAAAAGCAAAAAAAAAAAATCCATAATGTCCATAGAAAAGTTCCTGGTAGAGAGGAGGAAGGGAATGGGAGCTTAAATATTTGTTTTATTGAAAATGATTCCTAGCAAAGCTCAGTGGTAAAATATAGGTGTGGCTTTCTTTATACAATAGATGCATTCCTGGAAAGAAAAAGAGTGTATGAATAATACTTTGTTAAGTAAATATTTTAAACATGCAAGAGGAGGTTGCTATTTAAAGAAACCTTGAGGAGAATTATTTAAATTGAATAACCTTTCTCTGACTTATCTTTTCTACTGTTAGAGGATTTTTCACAGACCTGGCTTCCTCCTAGCAGTGGACATTGGACCCAGTAGAGAAATAGCAAGCCCTGCCTTCCTGGAACATGAAGGGATATACATATGCGGGATAACCCATGGTCATATTTCCATATAGCCAAGGAAGCTCCCAAGAGAATAATTGAATGATGAAGTTTATTTCATTCAGCTTTAAAATAAAAAAAAATAGCTATTACCAAGAAAACACAGTCAAGGCTAAAGAGCAAGGGCCTGGGAGTTAGGAGACCTGAGTTGTAGGCTCACCTTTGACACTAGCTAGCTGTATAACCTTGGATAAGTCACTCAATCTCTCTATATTTCTGGCTCCTAAATTGTTAATGAATAAAAAGAGAAAGAAATACCTAGCCTGTTTACCTTAAAAGATTAGCTAGTGCTAGTCAGTGGCAAAACCAGATCTAAAATCATCAGATCTTTGGCATTTTGTCTAGAGCTCTGGGCTACCTTCAGACTATGGCTTGGATCAGTGCCTCCATTCATCAGGATAGGGAAGTCTCAACATAGGAACTCCTGGTGCATAAACTCCTTCTACTTATGTCAAATGGCAACTCTATTTGTGATTTATGTCTTGGAGAGTTGCCTGGGGGCATGGAGAGGTTAAATAACTTCCCTTGGTCATACAGTTAGTATATGGAAGAAGGAGGACCAGAATCTATGTCTTTCTGACCACAGGCCCAGTCCCCTATCTACTACACTATGTTTCTTCTAACCATACAGAATTAACATACCTTTAAGAGCAGACTAGTTACATAGATACTTACTATACCCAATGAAGAGCCTTCCTTTGAAGAACTCAGAGCACTTTGATGCACTTATGATGTAAATATTGTATATTGTATATTATCTGTATTGGTATATTATCACCCTACTAGACTGTAAGCTCCCCGAGAGGAGGAATCTTGTGTTATCTAAACTTTACAGCTCTCTTAATAGCTAGCACAGAGCTCTGAGTACTGTAGGTACCTAATCAATATTTGTTATAATGTGTAAATCATATTTTATTTACTCATAAGCCCTCTCTGGAGGGAGATCAGAGTTTATGTAGCAGGAAGCTCATATAGACAGATGGCAAGGGACTTTATCATGGTCTGTTAATGCAGTGATGAGGCAAGGTAAATTCATTTCCCACCAAGCACTTGCTCATTATTCCATCAGTAGAGAGAGACCTTTTACTGAAGTGAGATGTATCACAATTAAAAGAAA